GGTAGACAGGGTGGCATTTTAAAGGGAGTCAGTCAGGAAGAACAGAAAGAGGGCCTAGGCTGGGGGGTGGGGACCAGAGGGAAAGCAGGGAGGGCTTCCTGGAGAAAGGGCTCTAGTTGGTGGGCTAGGAAGATGAGAGGTTTTGTGCTGCTCTTTCCGGGAGAGGCTATCCCTCCCTCCTCTATCACAGCCTCCCAAGAGCCCACATCAGTCCAGAAAAGTGCCCTGGCCACGCTCCACTAGGGACCCGGTCTCCCTCAGCCCCACCCGGTATCGCCTCCAGAACCTCAATCGAACCTGGCCTGCTCGCAGCACCCCAGCTTGGCTCCGCCTCCCCGGCCCCACCCCCAGCCCTTGGAAGGGGAAGTCCCGACTACTCAGTAAGGTATCCAAGCAGCTACAGCTTTACCAGTCCCAACTTTACCAGTCTCCTTTCGGTTCCTCTAAAAGACCAAGACTGCCTGTGCGGGTCCCTCCGCCCACCATGCTCTCCCTCATTCCCTAGTGTGGCTTAATTCTTTCCATACTCATGAAGCTCTCTCCCATCCCCAGGCGTGTGGGGCTCCTGTGGCACCCCATGCCACCCACCACACCCCACAGCGTGGGTGGTTGTCCCCGCCTATGTGTCTGGCTCCCCTACTTGACACTGTTTGCCCCGTGAGGGGAGCATCCAATATTTGTTGACTGATGGATGGCTGGATGGTGGCATTCCAGGGAGGGAACACCAGCGGATGCAAAGGCCTGGAGGCGTGATCTGGTTGTTGAAGCAACACGAGAAACCAGGGGGCGGATCAGGCTCAGGGTGAGTATCTGGGAGGGGCTGCCGACGAGCAGGCGGCACAGAGAGTGGGTGCCCGGGCCAAGATCAGTACACCTGGCTCCTGCCACATGCTTGGGGGTCCCCAGGTGCTTCCGTGGCTACCGCCCAGATATTTTTAGTGCGTGCTCCTTAGAGGCTGGGCCAGACAGCTGTCAGGAGGGATTGGGGGAGAGGGAGGAAAAGAGACAGACAGAGGAAAGAGAAGACGACGAGGGGGTGAGGAACTCCAGGCCCCAGACTGTTCTAGCAGGTAGATGGGAAAGAGTCAAGAGTAATACCCTAGACCAGGAGTTGGCAAACGACAGCCCAAAAGCCAAATCCAGCCCACTAGCCTGTTTCTGTAAGTGAAGTTTTTTTGGAATACAGCTATTTTCGCTCGTTCTGCTGCAACAGCAGAGTTGAGGTCTGGACAGGCTGTGTGGCCGACAACACCAAAAAACAAACAAACTATCTGGTTTTTTACAGAAAAATCTTGCCAACCTCCTTCCAGGAGAAAAATCTTTGGGAGGAGGACTTGTCGGTAGTTATTCATTGATTGTCACCGCTATTTCTGATTCTCCTCCTTCCAGATGCAAGAGAGGAGTGTACCTTGCAACGCCTGAACTAGGCAGTCATGTGACTTGCTCTGGCCAATGAAATGAGGGTGCAAGTGGCACATAGCTTTCTGGTGGAAGCCTTAGGAGCTGGTGCCTGATTTGCCATGTCCCTTTCTCCTGTCCTGCCACCTCTGCCACCTGATGTTCTAGGTGGTGGAAGTTCTGTCACGATGGGCTGCTGAGTGAGGGCTATGAGAAAGACGGCAACATCATAAATCTAAAGGGCAGGGAAAGACCACCAAGTATTGAGGGCCAAAGCCCAGACCCTTACCCCCCCATAAACTCCCACAATTGACTAAAATAAAAATATGAAGTGGAGCTCTTTCTAGGAATGTAAGGATAAATCAGTGTTAAAAAAAAAGCCTATTAATAGGTAAAAAAACATAAACATTTCCCCCTAGTGGTTCTTAACTTTCTTTATTTTGAGGCCTCTATTAGGTGCACGTAAGTTTGGAACTGTGAAGTAAAAGTTTTGATATTCCTTATTTCTATTAATATACCAAAAATATAACCTTATTAATATGGGCATATCAGCTTTAATTTTTTTCTTTAGTATTTGTCAGGTTTGTTTTTTCCCATCCTTCACTTTCAAATTTTCAGTATCTTCATATTTAGATGTTTCTTGTAAACAGCATAAAATACGAATTAAAATAAATAGTCTGACAATCTTTTGTCTTTTAACTGGAGTTCTGGTCCATTTACATTTATTTAAATTACTGGCAAATGAATATGTATTTCCATTATCTTATTCTGTGCTTTCTAATTGTATCTCCTTCCCAATGGAAGCATTATTTCAGGTTATTTCTTTTTCCCCCTGTACTAATTTGGAAGTTATAAACTAGTTCTAGTCTTCCAGTATTTACTGAAACTATTAATATTCCTACTCTGCTGAACTAAGTAACATATTACTCTCCCCTCAAACAATACAAAGATTTAAAAACCTCTACTCCACTCAGCTCTTATTTATTTGCCATTGTTGCCTAAATTTAATTTACCTTTTAATCCTACATATTGGACATTATAATTCTTGTTAATGAGGGTGATATTTTTTTAATTTTCTTTTTCTGTGGGGGGTAGGTAATTAGGTTTATTTATTTAAATGGAGGTAGTGGGGATTGAACCCTGGACCTTGAACATGCTAAGCATGCACTCTACCACTGAATTACAGCTTCCCCCAGGGTGATGTTTCTTTAGCTGCACCCATGTATTTCCCACATTTTTTGCTGTTTCCTTCTGCAAGTCAGCCCTTCCACCTGGATCACATTTTTCTGCCTGAAAAAATTCTCTCAGAATTTCATTCAATGGGGTCTTCATTTCTCTCTCATCCTCCAAAGACATTTCTGTTGGGTGAGAACGTCTGGTTTGCTATTTTTTTTCTGTTTGAAGATGGTACCCCACTGTCCCTGACTTTCACGTTACGGGGCTGAGGAGCTGACTCTCAGTCTGCCGTTTTCCCTTTTCTTGTTGACTTTGGTTTTCTGTATTTTCAGTTATCTTTTCATACATCCTGCTTGGGATTTGGTTGGCTTTCTGAATATTGGTGAATTGATGCCTTTCATTAGTTCTAGAAAATTCTCCATCATCATCCCCTTCAGAGTCTGCCTCTGTTCACTCTCTTCTGCATTTAACCTCCTTTTTCTCTTCCCATATTTGGGAAATTAACTCAGTTTCATTTCCCAGTTCACCAATTTTCTTTCCAGCGATCTCAAATCCACTGTTGACCCAATCCAATTATTTGCTTTTTATTTTCTCTTAGTTCTAGTTGGCTTTTCTACAGATATTACTCTCTCTTGTTCTTTGTTCACATTTCAGGATTAAATACAGCAAAGACATCAGGATTAAAGATACCAGGTCTTTGCTGTTGGCATTGACAGGCTGTGAGTTTTGATGCTGGCTCATATCCCCTGGGATGTGATTGGAGGAATTTTTAAAGACTGAGGTTGAAGGTTCTTGCAGCAGAGCCCCAGGGTCACCACCATCCTGGACTACTTTAAAGCATGTCATCCACCCAAGTTTGCTTTCTATTCTTGAGAAGATCTTATTTTGAGTTCTACTTCTTGCTTTGAGGCCTTCACTTACCAGACACACCCTCTTGAAGGTCCATGAAAACGGAAGACCAAACCTGCCTTGTCTAACACAAAAGCTGCTTCCGTCCTGGGGCTTCTGTCTGCACTGACGTTGTGGCCTCTGACTGTTCCTTACTTTCTGGCTGCTCATTGATATGTTAGTCAAAACTGAACTCAACTTTACCCAGTAATTTTCGTTGTTTTTATTGGGAATCTAGCTCACTACCTGATTAGAAGCAGAGGCTGACAGCATTTCTTATGCATGTGTTCAGACCCCAACCCCCCACCCCCGTGGAGATGCTAGAACTCCAAGAGGAATGAGCGTGTAAAAACAACTTTTTATGAATGAAAAAAGTAAAATTAAGGAGAAAGAACCTGCCTGATGAGCTATGCCAATGAAATCAATAAGGAGATGACCAGAAAGGTTGGTGATGGATTAGAACAGATTTGGAAACAAACAATGCATGTGGCATCTTATTCAGGGAGGAAGGAGTGTTTCAAATCTGAGAATCATAAAAAATAAAATGTTTGCAGCAAAACCGCTCATAAACAAAACTGAAAGGTAAATTTGGGAAAAAATTTACAACACAAAAGTTTATTAATGGTTAAGATGGTAAATTTTATGTTATGCGTTTTAAAAATTTTAACAAGTTTGTTGTCCCTATTGAAAAAAATATTATGATGTATGAATGAGCAAAAGACAAGCATCTAATAAAAAAAACTGAACCAGCCAATGAAAAATAAATACAAGAAAACTTCCAGAAATAAAATGAAAACAAGGAGACAGCACCTGTACTCAACAGTTTGCCCAAGATGAAAAATCAGGGTGATGTGGCCTCACGTACAAACAGTATCTTATCCTGCGATCCTGGACCAAGAAGTCCATCCTTATGGGAAAAGGCGGGTAGGTATTGGGGGCTAGGACTTGGTTGCATGTTTTTTAAGGTCACCATTCAACCCTGTACAAATGGCATCTTAATGAAAATGTTATCTAGATGTTTCTGTATGTGCAGGACATAGAGATCAGGGAGAGGGTTCATAAGGAAATTAATGTTTTATAACCTTAAGGTTCAGATTGCTTTTTAAGACTTTTCTGTGGAGTGAGACTTTCCTGCCATGAGTGCCGATTATCTCTAGGAACAGAAGGTAACTTTTGTTTAATGGCTTTGGATCATAGAGACTGGGGTTCAGATCTCACCTCAGCCACCAACTGGTTTGTGTGGCCAGGGTCTGGCAGCTGCCCTCCCAGTCTATAAAGCGGGCCCCTTAGGTGGCTAGGTTGGGCTGGAAGGCCGTGGTCAGCAGTGAGCTCCACTGGCCACAGGTCATTACTTAAGAGGCACTGCCTCCCCTGGTCCCGAGTTTTCCCATCTGGGACCTAGAGGCCAGAGAGTGCCTGACCTGGGGGCCACTGGGGATTCTGCAGAGCCTGTCCCCCTAGAACTGAGAACCCACATGGCAGCAATGATGGGCCTGGGTGCTAAGTCTCCCGCCAGCAGAAGGAACTGAGGCCACAGCTGAGCGGAGTACCTGGTTTATTTCCATCGCAGGTGAATCTCAGGACAGTGGCAGACTCTGGGCAGAGGGGCGGGGTTGGAGGCGGGGCTAGAACTCCACCTTGCAGGCAGGGAAGGCCTCGTCCTGCATGGACACGGTGCTGTTGCTGCCCAGCACCGTGATGCCCAGCGCCTGGTGCCGGGCATGTGTCTCCTCGTACCACTCATGCATCACCACTGAGTCGAAGGTGGGGATCAGGGTCACCTGTGGGTGGGACAGATGGACCAATGGTGAGGGGCAGCACCCTCTTCCCTCCCGCCCCAGCCCTATGGCCGCTGAGGCCCCTCTTCTCTGACCACCTTTGCTCTGCCTCCATTCTCTCTCGCTTGGATGTCTGTAGCTGCTGCCAGCCAGTCCCTGAAGTCCCTTCTCTTTCCCACAGCCCCCAAGGACCCTTCTACAATCCAGGAGACCAGACTACTCCTCTGTGAATTCCTCTCCATGCTTCCACCCACCCTCCACCACCACCCTCTCCCACTTTCACCCCCCAGGCCTCCCTCCAGCTCCTTGAATGCACCAAGCTTGCTCCCCACTTCGGCCTCTGCCTGTGCTGTGCCCTCGGCCCGGGACTCTCCCTCCCAGCTGCTCCGGAAACTGTGTGCCAGGCCAGGTGTCACACACTCAACCCCTGAGTGGGCAGCCAGGTACCTGGAGACTCCTACCTAAACTCGCCTCCCCCTTCAAGGTTCTACTTCAAAGCTTCCTGTGGAAATGACGCCAACCCTTGGGGCCAATTCTCAACTTTCTCAGCTGCATAGACACCACACACACTCCCTGTTTCCTCCTGGCCAATCCTCATAATGTTGGGGAGGTTAAGGGGCAGAGGTCAGGGGAGGTGATCAAACCAGCCCCATCCACACCCTCATCCAGGTTTGCGCAGACACACAAGGAAGTGGATGTAACAGGAACGTAGTCCTGAGGGCTGGGAGGGACTCTGGCATTTGGCCTCACTGCCCCATGGCCATGGGGACATGGCTTAGTCTCTCTGAGCTCCGCTCCCTCCTCTGATGTGGGTGAAGGTCACTTCGACCTCACAGGACTGTGCGGGTTTAACAGGAAGACATCAGGAAGCATTGACCCCACCCTGTGCCAAGAGCTTAGGCAATGTCCCCCTGCCATCTGCTGCCCTCAGGACTGTCCTGAGGCCCCCGCTGGTCACTCACCTGGAGGTCCCGGTCCCACTGCTGCTTGCCAGCCAGGAGCGCATCTAGGACGGCCCGCATGCCCTCCTCCTTGTGCTGGTCCTGGCCACTGATGACGTAGCAGAGCGCACGCACCCGCCAGAAGAACTCCTCGTCCACCAGGCGGGCACTGCCCCCGCTGGGCAGGTAGGCCAGGTCGAGGTACACAGGGGAGCCGGGTGGGGCTGCTGACCCTCCTGGCCGACTGCCAGCTGACCCTGTGGGCAACAGGGATGGGGTCAGTCATGAGCTCCAGGGACAGGAAAGGGGCTGAGACCCAGGGCCCGAGATGAGGCTCCCAGCTCCACCTGCACCCCTCTTGAGTGGCTCCCTCCCTGGCAGAGGTCTGATCTCACCGTTTTATGGTTGACAAGCCCTCCCTGTGAGCAGCAGTTACTCAATGAACCCTGCAAACACCCTGGCCAACCCCTCAGTGCCTGGATCCTTCCTGGCTAGTCCCTGGACACAGACACCCCCAGGGCCTGTGGGAGGGGGCAACCAACAAGGACTTCCTGGAAGAGGGAGTTTTGGAGGTTGAGCCCCTAAAGCAGCAGTACCTGGAATGCTCTGCTGCTTCAGCAGCATCCATCTGTTCGATTACTCAAGGGGCATTTATCAGGTGTTTATCAAACCCTCCTGGGCACCATAGCCTAGGGACATGGCAGTGACTAGAACAAAAATTCCTGCCCTTAAGGGTGATGGGGAGCCAGAGTGGGTGTGGGAAGGACAGAGTTGCAAGTGGGAGAAGCAGGATGGGGCAGCCTGGATGGAGATAGGGCAGCTGCTCTCCAGGCCTTGTCAAGGGGGACAAGGCCACCACTCCTGGGCCAGGGAACTCATCAACTGATGGGAGGACAGAGCTGGGTCTTGGGCACAGGAAACCCTCCAGATGTTTGGCATCTTATGCTCATAAACACTACCCAGACCAGGATATAGCACCAGGGGGCATTTGCAGAATGAATGAAACCCCCAGCTTTGGGCAAGTAGCATCTCTTGCTCATAACTGGGGACGGTGGCATCAGGGATCCTGAGCGGAGCCTCAGGAAGGGAAAGCCACCATGGCTGTGGAAAGCAAGAGGGAGACAGGAGCAGCAGAAGGACAATAGCAAAGAGAAGATGAGGGGAACGTGGGCAGAAGCCGTGGGGCGCGAGGACAGGGGTAGAGTGGGACTGGCAAGCGACGGCAACCGCCTGCTTTTGTAAATATACACAGTTTTCCTAGAACACCCATTCGGGTACTTACTGAGCTGCTTTTGTGCTACAACTAGCTGAGTAGCTGGGACAGAGACCCTCTGGCCTGCAAAGCTGAAAATGTTTACCCCCTGGCCCTTTAAGACAGGCTTTGCTGACACTAGAATGGATGGTTGGTTTATTAGAATTAGTGGGAGCAGGAGACCCCCGAGTGGCCAAGACTGTGGCCTTTGGAAAGAGGCCAAATGCCCCGGCAGGATAGGGCCTCAGAACACCCCCAGCCTCCAGGTGCCAGCCTTGTCCGTGGGCTCTGGGGGACCCCCCTCTATCTCCCTGCCACTGTGCTGGGAACCCCTGACCCACCAAAGAACATAGGAGCCCGTCAGGCTTCTCCCTTGGAATCTGCCCAGGAAAGATGAGAGGTGGCGGCTCGGGGAGGGGGATAGAGGTGGCGCTGAGCTAGAAGACAATCAAGAAACCAGGAGTGGAGGACAGGCCACGCGAGGAGAGAAGTTGGAGATGTCTGTCAAATCTGGAGGGCAGAGCCTCTCCAAGCAACTAGAATAGGGCCCAGCCCTGGGCAAGCGCTCAGTGAACACAAGCTAAAGTTATGATTAGTCATGGCTGTCACTGCTTTCTCGCCATCCCTTCCTTGGTAAGTTTGAATATGCGCTGACGCAGGGACTGCCGAGTACTGGAACGTGTTGACTGTGAGCTAAGACAAGCTGGGAGTGCAAAGCACTACATCCCAAGATGTAGTGTGGAAAAGAGAAAAGGGGACTATCTAGTAATTTTTCATGTTGGTTACATGCTGCTGGGTTTCTACCAAACATTTAAAAAACTAATACCAAGCCTTCTCAAAATTTTCCAAAAAACTAAAGAACAGGAAATACTTCCCAACTCATTCTATGAGGCCAACATTGCCGATACCAAGGTCAGACAAAGACACTATGACAAAAGAAAACTAGTGACCAATAACTTTTATGAATATTGATGCAAAAATTCTTCACAAAATACTAGCAAACCAAATTCAGCAGATCATAAGGATCATACACCATGACCAAGTGGGATTTATTTCTGGGATGCAGGGATGGTTCAACATACAAAAATCAATCGATGTAACATACCATATTAACAGAATGAAGGAAAAAAAACACATGATCATCTCAATTGATGCAGAAAAGGCATTTGACAAAATTCAACACTCTTACATCATAAACATACTCAACAAAGTAGGAATAGAAGGAAAATATCTCAACATAATAAAACCATATATGGAAAAACCCACAGATCATACCATAATTAATGGAGGAAGACTGAAAGCTTTTCCTCTAAGATCAGGAACAAGGCCAAGATACCTGTTTTAGCTACTTCTGATCAACAAAGTACTGGAAATTCTAGCCAGAGCAATTAGGCTAGAAAAAGAAACAAAAGGCATCTACATTAGAAAGGAATAAGTAAAGTTCTCTCTGTTCACAAATGATACAATGTTATGTGCAGAAAATGCTAACGATTCCACACACACAAAAAACCTATTAGAACTAATAGATGAATTTGGTGAAATATTTGTATACAGAAACTACAAAACACTGCTGAAAGAAACTAAAGAGGACATAAATTAATGGAAAGCTATCCCATATTCATGGATTGGAAGACCTAATATTGTTAAGATGCCAATACTACCCAAAGTGTTTCTACAGATTCAATGCAATTTCTATCAAAATTCTCAATGAATTTTTTTCTGCAGGTGTAGAATAATACATTCTAAAACTCATATGGAATCTCATAGGATCCCAAATGGCCAAGGCAATCTTGAAAAAGACAACAAAGGTGGAGGACCCACATATCCTGATTACTACAAAACTACAGTAATCAAGGCAATATGGTACTGGTATCAAGACAGACATATAGATCAATGGAACATAATAGAGAGCCCAGAAATAAACCGTCACGTATATGGTCAAATGATTTTTGACAAGGGTGCCAAGAACATTTAATGGGGGAAAGGGCAGTCTTTCAGCAAATGGTCCTGGGAAACTGGATATCCACATGCAAAAGAATGAAGTTCAATGCTTATTTAGCACCATACCCAAAAATTAACTCAAAATTGATCAAAGAGCAAAATATAAAGTTAAACCTACAAAATTCTTAGAAGAAAACATAAGGCAAAAGCTTCATGACACTGGATTTGGCAATGACACCAAAAAGCACCAGCAACAAAAAACAGACAAACTGGATTTTATGAAAAACTAAACTTTTGTGCATCAAAAGACACTAACAACAGAGTAAAAAAGGCAACCCACAGAATGGGAAAAATATTTGGAAATTGTATATCTGATAAGATATAGAGAGACAATACACAGAGAACTCTCAGAACCTAACCACAAAAAGACAAATAACCTGACTCAAAAATGGGCAAAGGACAGTCCCACAAAGATACACAAATATCTAAGAAGCACATGGAAAAGTGATCAATATGCCCACACTGTACAGCCATGTGGCTTATGCTATACACCTGCTTGCCCCTTTCTGGGGAGTCTGGAATTTTGGTGTATGCAATACTGTGATTTATAAGAAATCTATATACAGTTGGGTCATTCACAGATGTATTTGGTCTTCATCCACAGTTCCTATCTCACAGCTCCCCAAACCCTTGGATTTCCTGATCAGTAAGAGCAATGGAAGCATCTTCTGTTATAATATTTGGTTTCCTGGCCTCAGTTCCAGAAACTACTTCAGGGCCATAAAAGTGAAATAGGTGTCTTGTTATTCATAACAAGCCCTTTCCATCACAACTAGGTTTATGTTAATGAAGGTGACTTTGAATCCCATCCCAGGGTGGGAGCTAGTTGCCATGTGATTAGAAGGTTGGAACTTTCAGTCCTGCCCTCTTCCTCCCCAGTCTCTGGGGAGAGGAGAGGGCTGAGGTTGAATCAGTCGCCACTGGCCAATGATTTGGTCAATTATGACTGTAATGAAGCCTCCATAAAAGCCCCAAAGGAGAGCTTTTTGGCCCTTTTTCAAAGCTTCCACATCTGGGGACCAGAACACTTCTGCGTGCCACTGTGTGGGGCCCCAAGCTCCACAAGGACATCAGATCCCTTGTTCAGGACCTCATCCTATGCATCTCTTCATCTGTTTGTTGATTTGTATTCTTTAGTGTCATTTTATAATAATTGGTAATCTAGTGAGTAAATTGGTCTTCCTGAATTCTGTGAGCTGTGCTAGCAAATTAATCAAAGCCAAGACAGGGGTCATGGGAACCTCTTATTTATAACCAGTCAGTCGGAAGCATAGGTAACAAATTTGACTTGCAATGGCATCCTCAGTTGCAAGGTGTCGTTCAGAACCTCCAGTTTATAGCCAGTTGGTCAGAAGCACAAGTAGAAACCTGGGCTGTGACTGGTATCTGAAGAGGAAGGTGGTCTTGTGGGACTGAGCCCTTTACCTGTGGAATGTGATTCTATCTCCAGGTAGATAGTGTCAGAATTGAACTGAATTCTTAGACACCCTGAAAGTGTCCAAGAAGCTCCTCTACCCCTCAACACACACACACACACATACACACACACACACACACACACACACACACACAATGGAATTGGGTCCAGGAACCCTTTTTGGTTGGTGTCAGGCGTGGGATTTGTTAGAATGGTCCTGGTTTATGGAAACATGTGTTTTTTGAAGAGAAAGATAAAAGGGCGGACAATGAGGAAACTGACTCATGGATGGTTACCTGGTCACCCATAGTAAGAAACTGCAGCTGTGATATGATCAGTTACTAAAGGTAAAAGTTACCAGTGGAATGTAGAAATGGTAGTAGACCCAACTTCCAATGAGTTGGTTCATTGGATATATAAGAAGTGTCAAGTAATAAGCAGCATGCTACATATACAGTTTCTTGGCTATTGTTTCCTGTAATACCCTAAATGAAAGTTTAAAAAAGTGCTTGTTTGGGCCTTGATGCTGAACCAATTTCAGATTTGGGTCAATCTAGGCTTTGGCCATTAGCCTCAAAACTGCCCAG